TGTTGGGGGCGATATGCTGACTCTGTAAACCGCTTAGAGAGGGCTGAAAGCCCTATGAAGCGGTATATAAGTCTAACTATTGCTATTGCTATTTGTATCGTTTTATTATTTTGATGACAACCTGACCATCTTGCTTTTTGTACGGCTTATATATCATAACAGAAAAAATAAAAAAAGAAATATTACAACATAAGTAAACAGTTTCATTCCCAGGTTTTTTTATCCAACCATTGGTAAAACAAGCCCCACACTTTATAATATTGCTCATCCTCTTGTTCTTCTAATTTCAAATGTAAGCTTACTCGTTTCGGCACATTCCATTATTTTCCGGAGAGTTTCCTCCTGGGATGGTACTTACCTTTTGAAATGGAAAGTGTGGGAAATCTTCAGGCGGCATTAAAAAAAAAAGTAGATAAACCAGAGATTCACAGATAATACGTCGAACGTTGGTAATTTGTTTTTTTCTTTTCCTCTGGAAAAACAACTCTTCTCCGTTCCTCCAGATTAATCAACTGACGGCCACATTTAGTCCCATTTTCTTGGAAATTATTCAGAATAACCTCCCCGAAGGAGTCCATCTATTAGTGAAAGAGGTATGTGGGGGTCTTATTGAAACACTTAAATTAGAGAATTAAAATAATGAAAACCATCAATACATTTATCCTAAAAAAGGAGGAAGACGACTGAGGGGGGGGGGATCCTATGTGCTCTGGGTTTGGAGATGTTTCATGATCCAACTAGGTAACATTATCAATGCTAGAAAGGAGTGGGGTTTGCAGAAAGGAGGAGGAGAAGAAAAAGGATGACGGTTCATGACCCAACTAGGGAACATCATCAGTGCTAGAAGGGAGTGGGGTTTGCAGAAAGGAGGAGGAGGAGGAAGAAGACTGTGTGGCCCTTAATGTTCTCTGAACTTGATTGTTTTCTTGAAGACATTTCATGACCCAACTAGGGAACATCATCAGTGTTAAAAGGGGGTGGGGTGTGAGAAAGAGGAGGAGGAGGACTGTGGGGTCCCTGGTGCTCTCTGAGCTGGCTGGTTTTCTTGCAAGACGTTTCATTATCTGACTAGGTTACGTGGTCAGTGCTTGAAACCTGGAAGGATATAAAACTGGCTGTGTGTAAACAATCCTCTCAGGGATCAATCAATTGACCATCAACTTCCCAAGGAAGAATTATCCGGACCACAATCTGATAAACCCTGACATAAACCAAGTTAAAATCTTGAATTATAAGATTCTTTTCTTTGTGCAAATGCAGCCTCAGTAGCTGATAAAATATTATATTGCTTTGGTTAGTGCTCCCCAACCCCCCCAGGCCAATATTGACCCGTGGCCTACTGGGCATTGGGCCGCACAAGTGGCTAGCTAGAGTGCAAGCGTGCAGCTTAACTTGCACAAGTGGTGGCTGGTGGGAACTCATGCGCGTGTGCGCCAGCCTGCCACTCGTGTCGATTGAGCTGTGGATGTGTGCACTGGCCCATCACCACAAGGCCCAATTCCCCTCTCCCCCTCCAGCAGCTGGGCTGGCAAGCCACAACTGGCGAAGGTCATCTAAACCTTCGCGGGTACAAAGGTTTTGCCACTTTCTTCAGCCACCGTCGTTCTGCATTAACCAAGATCCAAATGTTGGGTTTGTTCCTTTCCTTCCAGCACACGGAGGAAGATTTCAGAATTCGACTGAAGGTCCGCACGGAACTGGATGTGCTTCGGGCCAAACTGCAGTGAGATGGGGCCGGTGTCCGATTGAAGCTTTCCATCGCTTCGAGCCGTTCTTCCAGGCTTCCCCAGCCAGCACGGGTGGACTTCCAACTCCCCAAATCCTCCAGCACTGTAACACGCGTGGACTTCGGCTCCCAGAATTCCCCGTTAACAAAAACGTGAAGGGCCAGGAGAAAAAGCTTGGTTTTCTCACAGCTTTCCTATCCGACGCCTCGATCCGGCCTCTTGCACCTCTCGAAAGATGCTTTTCCAAGTGATTTTTATAATAAATGAATAAAAGCGTGGAAAAAAACCCCAACGCGTAGCATCTCTTGTGTTTCCCCCTGTGCTGCTGTCCAAGCCGTCCTTTTCAGGCAAAACTTGATGATTCAGCGTCTGTGCCCTGAAAGAGATTCTCTCTGCCCAATTCTCGGTACGGTACAGACCCACTGAATGAGTCATCTTCCCTAGTGGCAAATTAGTCGAGAGGATTTCTCTTCCACCCACAAGAGGATGCTTGTGAGGCTCCTTTTCACAACTGTTTTGTGAAACAAGAGTTGCTTTTATAGATGGGTGTTGTGGCTTAGCAGGAGCCGTTGGAGCTGCCACCAGACTCCGACAGCGAGGGGCCCTATGAGTCGGCTCTGGAGGATGGTGAGTGCCCTGGACAGGGTTCCGACTCTGAGCAGGGCGCAGAGAGACTGGTTGGCCACCAAGAGGTGCCTGAGCCTTGGACCAATGGGGAGGAGACAAGGGAGAGTGATCCTGACGGCATGCATTGGAACAGTGGGGAGGAGACAAGGGAGTTGGTCCTGGATGCCCGGCAACGGAGGGCTAATAGGCGT